ACAGGTTTAACTTGACCCTGTTGGAGTGTAACTCTTTCCTACATTCTGATACTTTACTTATTTCAATAGTCCCTCTAGTTTCTGAATAAGAGACATTTGAATGTAAAAAATCTGCCCTGTTTCCCTCCGTTACCACTTGGACCAGACCCAGTTCTCGATGTTTATCAGCTGTTGCTGCTGTAAAACCTGCATTTAAGTAAAGAAACTTGTGATTCAATATATTCTGACAGCCCACGTTATTATTGTGAGACTTTTGACGATACAATATCACGATATTTCAGTTATTGTTACATCCCTAGTGCTTTTACTTTACTCTGTCCTATATCCACTACTGCACATACTGTAGTACCCAGTAGCCCCTCTGCCTGTCCCCCTCCCCTGTCTTTAAACTCTCCCTCTCCAGATCCACCGTCTGAGGTCTGACCCTGTCTCATTACACGAGCCCAGCTCCTCTCATCTTCTGTTCAGACTGTGCGGAGCTCGTGCTGACGGCCTGTAACAAATCTCTGACACACTGCTCCTTTAATATACAGCGTGTGTTATATTATATTAACACTGGGTTCTGTGTAAGCGCTGGTGTTTATGTGTGGCACACTCCCATGCACAGGTCTTATATTACACACTTTTGTAAGCTTTTAGACATGTTATAATGCTGTTACCTCATCAAAAACAGACCCGGAGTTGTGTTTTGTTTCATTCACACATGTTTGAGTAACTCTTTATTATAAGTCTGTCCATGTTTCTAAGGCTCGAAATGCTCTGTTCTTCCTCAGGATGCCATAAAGTGATAGTTTTCACGTTAACAACTTTAGTTCAGTAGAGATTGACAATTAGAGGTCTGCGCCCACACCTTTCACTTTGTGGAAACCGTCTGACCTCACAGCATTAGGATTCGTTTTCTTGACGGTAAAGCAGGTACTTTTCTTATTTAACCAATCGCTGCTATTTGGTCGTGATGTATGTAATGTGCCACTAACGGAGCTAACTGGTATATTAAGCTTTTTCCAAATCCCATAGGAAGAAGGACAATAACGTCTTTCCCGTTGATAAAATTCTCCAAACATTCTCTTTGTTCCAGGTTTAAATCCTTGATCTCGGGAATTGTTGCCAACACAGAATATACGGCTCTTCGTTGATTGGCTGGTGCCCAAACTCACACTTCCAGGGTTTTTGCGAACCGTCTAGTGCAGGCATGTCCAAACTATGGCCTGTGGGCCAAATGCGGCCCTCAGACAAATTTTTCTTGGCCCTCAGGCTTCCACAAGAATTGGCCCAAATTACTTGTATCAATGAAAAATGTACTTTTTATTGCAAGTTTTTTGAAAATCTACCTTGATAAAGCCAATATTGAATATTTAGTGTGTGGTTCTAAGGATCTTAGCATGAATAAAAACTGATGGCTCATTAAACATGCACATATTTCAATTATTCCCTGTATTGAGCTCCAGTCTACGGCCCTCGATCGGCCCTTTGCTTCATCTGTGTTTAGAAATGTGTCCCTTAATGAAAAAAGTTTGGACACCCCTGGTCTAGTGTATTCTGATTCCTGACCTAGTCGCTGGAGAGAAATTAAATTGAGCAGGAGCACGAGGTGGAGTCAGTCTAGCCCGCACCCACAAAGAATTGTAATTTTCATCCCCTATCTGCGATATTTTGTCCCGCTCCCGCCCGCAAATCCCGCAAGATGGGAACGTTCTCTTTCTTAAACTCATCAAACACGGAGAAGCGGAAAGGAATTGTCAAAAATGTGCACGAGATTAGACCACGTCCGCAACTTTAGGCTGCTTAAAATGTTTTTTATTATTGCCAAATAAAATATCCACCACAAATGATGTATGCTGGACGCTCATATTTAGTTTGCGGGACTTCAGTTTATCATCCCACCTGCTCACTCTCGCCCGCACCCGCAGTGAGCTTTCAAAATGTGTGAGAGCGTTTTCTATTTCCAATAATACCGAAATATGCAGATTTGTGTGTTAAACTTGTGTATATGAAACAAAACACAACTCCAGGTCTGTTTGTGACACAACATTCAACATTAGATCAGAAAATAGTGTAATATGGGACTTTTAAAATTAAATTAAACCTGTATATCCCTCCTGGATCTTTGCTGCTGTGACACTGGGAAGCACAGGGAAATTTTAAAATTCAAGATAAATATTTTTAAATCATGGGAAGAGTGAATGTAACTAATGAAGTTTTGTGAAAAAATATTATGTTAAAAATCGATTCGGATCCATTTTGAATCGATTCGAGAATTGTGCAATGAAGTATCACTGAATCTGATTTTTTTTAGTGTCTGTTCTTTATAGGAATGGGACAAGATCTCGTGCCACAACATCTCATGAGACAAAATTGCCACAAGACTGAGCCCAGATGAGAAAAATGACCTCGTGAGATTTTTTTTCCAAGTGTTTACATTAGGATAAGACCAAAAAAATGTGAAGGGTTGATCTCTTACAAAGCTCCAAAAAGCAGGACTAGAATGGAAACAAAAATATGAAAACAAATAAATAAAAAATTGTGAGGCCAAAATTGGAAACTGAATCACGAAATGTACATATTAGAATCTTAAATTATATATTAGAATATTAAATCCCATCTTGTCTCATTCTCATGGACCAAATCTCGTAACAATCCCTCGTACTTTACACTGAACTTGGATGCTTTTTACTTTCTACTCGTAAAAGCAAGTATTTTTTCATTAGGCTATGTTCGAGGGTTTATTTTTAACACATTTGCAATTTGAGTAAACAAAAATATACAAATAAAACCAAACAAAAACATTTCAATACTTCGTTCAGACTCTACAGAAATCCCCCGTGATATATTTTTATCTTTCTTTTATCCTCGTAAGCAGACGTATTTGTTTTGATACGAACAGATCGTGCGTGTCCAAACTCGAGGAGATTCACCAGTGACCAGACTCACATCTTTGTAAAAAAAATGAACAGTGTGTGTGTATTTTAAGACCCTAAGGACAGGAAAGTCTGTGCTTGGACGGGAATTGAACCTCTGATTCTCTGACATGCTCTTAACCCCAGTGGTGGAAGGGAACAAAGTAAAAGTAGTAAAGTACTGCTGTAGATTAAAGCAGATACTTTTACTTCACTACATTTGAGACCAGGTTTCTGAAAACTAAAAATATTTTCGAGGCTGAGGATTTATTTTTAACACACTCATAATTTGAGCAAACAAAAATATACAAATAAAAAACAGCTAGGAAAAAAAAACACCTGATTAAATTGTTTCTGTTGCACAAAATTCAGCACAAATCTGTATCAAAATCATGACACTTGATGCCTCATAAGACCTCAAAATATGCTCAAATTACTTTTGCTTTTTACTCTTAAAGCGTCACAAAGTATTTTTATGAAGCTGATGGTTTATTTTTAACATGTTCATAGTTTGAGCAAACAAAAATATACAATTAAAAACAATAAAAATGTATTAAATTGTTTATGTTGTACCAAATTCAGCACAAATCTGTATCAAAATCATGACATTTGAAGCCTTATAAGCCCTCAAAATATATGCGAAATACTGTTACTTTTTACTCTTGATGAAGCGTCAAAAAGTATTTTTATGAGGCTGAGGATTTATTTTTAACATGTTCATAGTTTGAGCAAACAAAAATATACAAATAAAAACTGATTAAATGTTCCTGTTGCACAAAATTCAGCACAAATCTGTATCAAAACCATGACATTTGACGCCTTATAAGCCCTCAAAATATGCGCAAAATTCTTTAACTTTTTACTCTTGAAGCCTCGTGAAGTATTTTTATGAGGCTGAGGATTTATTTTTAAAATGTTCATAGTTTGAGCAAACAAAAATATACAAATAAAAACTGTTGGGAAAAAGAAACAACTGATTAAATTGTTTATGTCGCACAGAATTCAACACAAATCTGTATCAAAATCACGACATTTGACGTCTCATAAGACCTCAAAATATGCACAAAACTTTTACTTTTTACTCTTGAAGCCGCATTTTTATGAGGCTGAGGGTTTATTTTTAACACATTCATAGTTTGAGCAAATAAGAATATACAAATAAAAACAATAAAAACTGATTAAGTTGTTTATGTTGAACAAAATTCAGCAGAAATCTGTATCAAAATGACAACATTTTACACCTCATAAGACCTCAAAATATGCTAAAAATACTTTTACTTTTTACTCTTAAAGATTCGTGAAGTATTTTTATGAGGCTGAGGGTTTATTTTTAACACGTTCACAGTTTGAGCAAATAAAAATATTCAAATAAAAACAATAAAAACTGATTAAATTGTATCAAATCTGTATTAAAATTACTACATTTGATACCTCAATATGCACAAAATACTTACTTTTTACTCTTGAAGTACATTTTAAACAGATACTTTAACACTTTCACTTAATTAGATTTTTTCATGTGATACTTTTACTTGTACTTGAGTATTTTTTTGCTCTGTACTTTTGATTAAGTAACAAAAGTACTTCTTCCCACTCACCACTGTCATCCTTATGGTTTGTATTCATCAACAAATCTTGATCACTTTTTACTTTATACTCTTGAAGTACATTTTTAAAAAGATACTGACCTATGACTTGGTCTGGTTTGGTCTCCATGTCCGATAGAAATGTTTAATGCCATACTGTGTAACATTCCAGATAAAGCAATAACATCTCCGTGAAAAAAAAAATACATTTGTCGGACTTTAACGTTGCTCAATGCACCTTTAGATAGATTTTTTCATGTGATACCTTTACTTTTACTTGAGTATTTATTGCTCTGGTATCTGTACTTTTACTTAAGTAACTGTAAAAGTAAAAGTACTTATTCCACCACTGCTTAACCCACTCCCCACTGTCATTCTTATTGTTTATATTCATAGTAATTTATCTTTTCCCCAACAAATCTTTACCAAAACCACTACATTTGAGGCTTTATTAGTACTTTTTTACTTTTTACTCTTTAAGTGTGAGTATAAAAGTCCGTCTTGTGTCCGTCCCCAGCCCCGGAGAGAGACGAGGTGGTGCGGCTGAGTAAGATCGTGAGGACCCAGCCTGTGCACAGCCCGGGCCCAGAGACGGAGCTGCTCCTGGGGGAAGAGGAGGACGACGGCGGCGGCCTGCTGCTGGACCGAGACGTGGACACTCTGGGAGGTCAGGACACATACTGCATACATATACACACTTTTGTTATTATTTATGTATTTATTTTTTATTTTTTGGCTTTTAAATGTTCACTTTTAATACTCGATTCATGGACTTCATTTGGACATTGGATTTTTTTAGTTTCTGAGGACAATTTAAATTAATTCAGATGAGTTGCAACTAAAATTAAAACAACTAAAATGCTAAATTATGTTGTAATAAGTGAGTTTGGAATCGGAAATATCAGGTTCAACGTTCGTGAGTTTACTTTTTTGGATATTTCATGGCGAAGTACAAAGGAATCATCAACAGGAAACAGTATCTGAGATGTTTATATTACGATCCTTTTTCTTTAGTTTCTGCTTTAATTGCGCTTTTGTTTTGACTTTTTGTTTTTGTTTTTGCTTAATCAGATCTTTCTTTTCTGTTTCAAATGATGAAAAGTCACGCACAGTTTCTTGGACACAGATTCACGTAAATTACAATTATGAGTATTGGTGGAAAAAAGAGAAAAAAAAAGAAACAAAAAAGCAACAAAGGAGCATTGAAATCTCATTTAAAGATGCTTGTGTCATCAGTTGAGTTGGGATGTAACAATAACGGAAATATCGTGATATCGTATCGTCAAAAGTCTCACAATGATATCATGGGCTGTCAAAATATATCGAATTACAAGTTCCTTTGCTTAAACCAGACTAATCAAACTAATTTTGGTCCGGGGGCCATATCCAACCGACTTTGATCCCAAAGGGGCCGGATCAGAAAACTCATGTCATATAAACCCCAAAAATAACAATAAGTTCAAATATTTGTGCAGAGAAACACAAATCTATTACAGAAATCTTTTTTAATTGATGAACTCTTTCTTTTACAAAATATTATAATATTATGAACAACCTGAAACTTTAAGAAAAATGCAATTTCAACACAAAGTTTTAACATGAACTTGTCTACAAATAGGAATAAATCCATTTTTCTTGGATAATCCTTCTCATTTTGGACGTTTTGTTGATGAGGGTGTCACGGTCAACAGTCAAAACGATCGTCCTTTAAGAGCGTTTGGAAAGAGACAAGTCTTCATTTGTGCTGCTCTGGTGGGAGGGGCCACGTACAGAGACGCTGGAGACGCTGCTGTGATAAACACCACAGAAAATTAAAAATATTTAAATAGAAAATATAATTCAAATATTTTAGTAGAAAATCAGCCGAGGGCCACATTAAAGGTCTTGGAGGGCCGGATCCAGCCCCGGGGCCTGTGTTTGACACCCGTGGCTTAAATGAACATCGGAAACTACATATCCCATGATTCATTTCGGCGTAAACAACATGAAGAAATATGATTTTTACTTTAATTCTTGGGATTATGACGGAAATAATTCACACCGAAATCTTCTCAAGGTATTTTAAAAGCCAAAAAGTGTTAGTATCTTCAAAATATCGTACCGTGAGATGTATATCGTGGTAATATCGTACCGAGAGATTTGGATATTGTTACGTCCCATGTAAAGAGGGGTATTGTACTTCTATGGTTTACTAACTTTTAACACATAACATCAGTGTAGCTGCGGGGTCTTAAAAGTTTTAAAAAGGTCTTAAATTTCATGTTCCTAAATAAAGTCTTAAAAATAAATAAAATAAATAAATAAAAAATAATAAATAAATACAATAAAATTAAAATAAAATCGAAATAAAATATAAAATAAAATAAAGCCTTAAAAAGTCTTGAATTATGTTTTCCAAGTCTTATTTTTTTCACCAAGGTCTTAAATTTCATTAGTTTGTTTTTTGGTAAAGTCAACTGGGCTGTTCAATGGAGGGAGGAAAAAAAACAACAACGTGAAATCATGTAACGTGAATGAACGTCTAATTTGGAGTTTGCTCAAACAATACTTTGGTTTCTGGCGCCAGTGGCCATGAGTAAACAATCAGTAGAGTGGAGGAAGACGCTGGATGGATCATGGGGAAGTTTAATCCACAGTGACTCTTAGATTCTAAATGTAGTAATTGTTTGGTCATTATTAGAATTGGATCTGGAGTTTTTCACCCGCATAATGGGAGCGATATTGGTCTTAATGTTCATTTAAATGGTCTTAAAAAGGCCTTAAAATGTCTTAAATTTGATACCCTGGACATGTTTAGATCATCATGTTACCTTTGATTGTTTTGAAAATGCTTTGAAAATTCAAAATATTAACATGTTTTATAAAGTTCAAGATTCCCGTTTATGTGACTTCTGTGACTGTGATGCCGGACTTTTGCACCGCGTACGGACTGAACCAGGACTGATCCAGGTCCGGGACCAGACCGGGACCAGAGTGTACCCCGAGCTTTGACTCTGAGCCTCAGAAAGGTCCGAGCCTCAGCTTTGAGCTCCGGCCCTGCCGTGGGCTCTGAGCCTCCGCTCTGGTCCCGGCCTGGTCCCGGCCTGGTCTCGGTCTCAGGCCCACATTGGTCCCGGCCTGGTCTCGGTCTCAGGCCCACATTGGTCCCGGCCTGGTCCCGGCCTGGTCTCGGTCTCAGGCCCACATTGGTCCTGGTCTGGTCCCGGCCTGGTCTCGGCCTGGTCCCCGGCCTGGTCCTGGTCTGGTCCTGGCCTGGTCTCGGTCTCAGGCCCACATTGGTCCTGGTCTGGTCCCGGCCTGGTCTCGGCCTGGTCCCGGCCTGGTCCTGGTCTGATCCCAGCCTGGTCTCGGTCTCAGGCCCGCTCTGGTCCCGGTCTGGTCTCGGTCTGGTCTTGATCTCAGTCCCGGTCTGGTCCTGGCCTGTTCTCGGTCTCAGTCCTGGCCTGGTCTCGGTCTCAGTCCCAGTCTTAGTCTCGGTCTAGTCTCGGTCTAGTCCCAGTCTCAGTCCCAGCCTGGTCCCGGCCTGGTCCCGGTTTCAGTCTCGCTCTGGTCCCGGTCTGGTCTCAGTCTCGGTCTGGTCCCGGTCTGGTCCCGGTATCAGTCCCCGTATCGGTCCCGGTCTGGTCCCGGTCTGGTCCCGGTCTGGTCCCGGTCTGGTCCCGGACCTGGATCATTCCTGGTTCAGTCCGTACGCGGTGCAAAAGTCCGGCATCGCAGTCACAGAAGTCACGTACGTGGTTTTGGAGACAAATAATGAAGAAAATTGTTTTTTCGTTTTCTTACTTTTGGTTTTATTTTGAAAAACAAATGAACAAATGACACACAGATTTGTTTCGTATCATGTTTTTCATATTTAAGGAGAAGTGTCGTGTTGGAGTTTAGGAATGGATCACATCTCAAACCTCTTCACCCTTGTGTTTTTTGACAGAACAATGTTATAACATGACAGAAAGCTCCAAAAAGTCCACTTTATTTTATTTTTCATGTAATTTCCCTTCTTTAATGCAGGAGTATTGTCTCGTTAAACTCACACGCGTCGTCCCTCAGTGAGCTCGAGGTCTGCTTTGAATTGTTTATTGTTTATTTATAGCCACATTTGCAACTTATTTAATACATCCTGCTTCAAAAATGCAGTTATGCTCAGATGTGAAAAGAGATACAGCCACTTTTCCAAGCAGTATCAAGTTTTACACAATAATTACGTGCAATCAAACGTGCACATGGGCCCCGGGAATGTGCAGTCGCCAACAGAACAGGAGACCGTGTACTCATATAGTGTGATTTAAAGCTGCACTCTGTAACTTTATGGTCGTCCGTCACATTTCACCCGTGGGAGACGATCAAGTTTTATCTTATCTTATTATAAAAGTATTTTGAGGAGTATTGTACCCGTTTGTGTGGACCAGACCTGGGCACAGTGCGGCTCCGGGGCCACATACGGACCTTTGTTTGACTCTGATTGGACCATTTAAGATCATCTGGAATTACAAAATAAACATGTTTTATTATTTTACCTCATGCATGAACTAAAACTGCATTGATTTTATTTTAGAGGTGTTTTTTTTTTTTTTTTTATCAAGACTAAACCAGGTCTAAACCAGAACTAAACCAGGTCTAAATCAAGACTAAACCAGAACTAAATCAGGACTAAAACAGGACTAAACCAGAACTAAACCAGGTCTAAATCAAGTCTAAACCAGGAATAAATCGAGACTAAACCAGGTCTAGACCAGATCTAAACCAGATCTAAACCGGGTCTAAACCAGGACTAAATCAAAACTAAGCCAGGTGTAAACCAGGTCTAAACCAGATCTAAACCAGATCTAAATAAAGACTAAACAAGGTCTAAACCAGGTCTTAATCAGGACTAAAACAGGACTAAACCAGGACTAAACCAGGACTAAACCAGGTCTAAAGCAGATCTAAATCAAGACTTAACCAGATCTAAACCAGGTCTAAACCAGGTCTAAAGCAGATCTAAATCAAGACTTAACCAGATCTAAACCAGGTCTAAAGCAGATCTAAATCAAGACTTAACCAGATCTAAACCAGGTCTAAACCAGGTCTAAAGCAGATCTAAATCAAGACTTAACCAGATCTAAACCAGGACTAAACCAGGTCTAAATCAAGACTTAACCAGATCTAAACCAGGTCTAAACCGGGACTAAACCAGGACTAAACCAGGACTAAATCAAGACTAAACCAGGTCTAAATCAAGACTATACCAGGTCTAAACCAGATCTAAACCAGGTCTAAACCAGGACTAAACCAGGTCTAAACCAGGACTAAACCAGGTCTAAACCAGGACTAAACCAGGACTAAACCAGGTCTAAACCAGGACTAAACCAGGTCTAAACCAGGACTAAACCAGGTCTAAACTAAGACTACTTAATGGTTTACTGCTTTTTATAAATAAATACAGTTCATATTCTCCAGAACTGAGTTAAGCTTTTTGTCCCTCCACAATATTTTCTCTTTTTCATGTGGCCCCATGAGAAAAATAATTGCCCTCCCCTCGTCTCGGTATCTCTGAGTTTCAGATGACGTCACAACATTTTATCAGACAATATTATTTAAACAGATGGGCTCGGGTAAAATGTATATTGTTACATTTCTGTACAGTGAGTTCTTGGGTTTAGTCGCTCGTAGAAATGATCAGATCCAAAA